AGTGCCATTAAGTCGATGGATCCAGCTAATAATAAGTAACTTTAGGCCCTACTATTAACAAAACGGGTAAGTTATGTAAAAAGTTGGCTTCACTTCTGCTCTATAAAGCTCCTTACACACCAAGCCGATTTTCGCGTCGATAGATGTCGATAGATGTCGATAGATGTCGGGCCGTCGATGAGCGTCGTGTCGCCCTACTCAGATTGGTGTGTACTGCACCGTTGTGTCTTTTCAGCCGTGCCGACTCCTTCCGCCGCCGATTCGACATGTTGAATCGGTAGGCTGTCGGCCAAAGAAATCCCTCTGATTGGCTGTTCAGCTTAGCGAATCAGTGTATGAGAAGCGAAACGGAAGTGAGGGACCCAAACAAACTATTAAGAAGGCAAATCTGAGATTTCATTTAACTCCAGCTCTCGACAAAGGTTCGGGAAAGCCCCATGAGCTTCTCGTTGTAGAGTGAAAATGTAACGCACACGCTATTTGTTGTTTGTTTATATCACGCAGTCTGTTCTTCTTCTCTCAGTTTATCACACAGTCTGTCTTCCGGTTGTTGCAGTTCGTACGTGCTACTTGGCCGTCCGCTGAAGTCTTTGTGTTCCAGTGCGAAACATGGCCAAGACGCAGGAGACGTGAGGCGACGTTCTTTGGTGTTCTTTGGTGTCAGTTTGGTGTGTAAGAGGCTAGACAGCTAGCAGATAGTAACACAACTTGACTAGCTGCTTTCACTGCAAGGCTCTGCGCCAAACCTAGTGGTGAACAAAGAGAATATTGCATATCATTTGAATGCAGCTTTACCTTAAAAAAAACGGAGGACATTCTATCGTTACCATCACCGCAATATAAAACAAAACAGCAGTAACAGCTTAAAGGTGGGGTAGGTAAGTTTGAGAAACCGGCTCGAGATACACTTTTTGTTATATTCCATGGAATGCTCTTAACATCCCGATAGCAATGAATATCTTAAGTGCTTTGACAAAAAATCCATAAAAAAATGTCATCTGTGGAAGCAGTAGTACTGTAAAAAGTACGACCAATCATTTTAGCCGGCCCGGCTAAAATAACTGGATGGCCTACCTGCCTGTCAGCCTTCCATCTGTGCACAAACTTATCTCGTGCCCTCATTGGTCATGTGCGCGTTCGTGTGTGTTGGAGGAGGGGCTCTGTAAGGAAGTGGCTGATTTTTTCCGGCTGTGTATTTTCAAATTCTAGCGCACTCGAGCTGGTTTCTCCAAAATTACCTACCCCACCTTTAAGCTAACACAGAAAACAACGCAACACAACATAGCCGTAGTGTTCCCATAATGGACAATGTTAGACATCAACATGGTGGCTATTAGGGGGTCTCTGGGCAGTGCTGGGTTTGGCCAGGTCTTACAGGAGGCTATATATACCCTGAAATGTGAGCGGATAAGAGACTGCTGATGTCTGTGAGGGCCACACTGACGCCTCTGCCCTTCCTTTCTGCCCACTACCACCTCAGTGCCAAGTGTTTCGTATTAAAACAAGACTAACAAGGCCATAGTTGCACATTATCCAGCGTTCCCTAGCTACTGGTGCGACACTTTGATACCCCTACAGCCAAGTTTAGTGAGTTTCAGTGCGTTGCTGTATACCGTAAGATCATGAATTCACAGCTACATACAAAGACAAATCTAAATGTACTAAACAGTGCTGGCACACACACATTTTAGAATTTCATATAAAACCACTAAATTAAAGTGGAAATAAAATATCTGCCTAATAAACGTTCTGTAAAGATTATATGCTATTGCTTGTCCAAGCCCTTCAGCACTGCCCTTCAAAGCTCCATGTTCCGACTATATAGCTCTGTTACCTTTCATTTCCCATCCTTGGTCAGACTTTACAAAAAACAAATAAACTCCAAAACACAACATTTTTGTTTCCACTTAAATATTTTGCCACAAGGAAGTTCTTACCTCTCACTACATGTCTTTGCTATACAACCACTTTTCTACAATATCAAAACCAGGATTGGAGCAGCCAATTAGCATTCATCATTACCACCATCTGTTGGTGACTCACATGAGAGCATATAAAAGCAAAAGTGACCTCAGAGATGACTCAATCCACACACTGATTCACACTTTTGGTCTGTGCAGCTCACTGGCACACTTCTTTATTCATTGAACTAATCATTTGGTCAATTAAATGCTTTCAATATTTAAAACACCAATCATTCAGAGCAATTCCACTGAGAGATAGGCATTAGAAACACACAAGTGGCTTAAAGCAATTAGTGGTTTAAACACAAGCACATTGTTCCGGTACTTGACTATGATTGGTCGAGCCGTGTTAAAAGCCAATGTAAAATGATTAGAGCTGTGACCACATTACAACAGTTTCAACGCACTTGATGTGAGAAGAGGTCAGAAAAGATGGACAGGATAGAGGAGGAAGACACTTACTTAAATGAAGTATAGCAGAGACAACATACCATACAAAATACTCTGGCACAGTAGAGGAGATGTGCAACCCGCCATAAAACCCAAAGAAAAAGAAAAGGAAGATTGCCAAGAAAGGACATATGCTTAAATTAATGCACAATAAACAAAAAAGGAACAAAGGGATGATATGTTGTGTGCCTAAAATGCCCCCTTAGCTCTTGTAAAATCACGTAATCACAGTTTATGGCTTAAATTCACACTGGTGGAACATTTTTACTTGTCAACACACCTCAAATCTATTCAAAAGTGCAATTTAGCGGACCTGGTTGTAAATGATTGTCAAGTGTCAATGCCACTCATTTTGGTTTTTATGAAAAAATATATTGTTTATGGAATATTTCAAAGAGAAAACACCCCCCCCCCCCTGGCTGGGTTTTGGTTGAAAATGTTGATGGTTAGATAGAAAAAATAGATCACCCTTTCTACTTTATCCAATATTTCTTACTTAGTCTTTGAGTAAAAGTGCAAACTTTTCCGCTGATAAATGTACATATAGGTCCCATGTAAAGAAATTCCATTTGTAATAATAAAGCAGGTCAAATTGCTATTCTAATACTTTGAAAGCAATACAATGCTCAAATCATTACAAAAATTCACATTTTCCCTATTCAGAAACTGTGCCTACGAGCCGGCAGGACTTCAGTAAAGTTGTGATATTACAACTATATCATTTTCATAGCTTTAAACATTGTAAATGCATTGCACATTTGCAGTGAATGACATAAGAGGAGAGGAGGTAAACATGGATTGAAACTGTTAACTAACAACACCACAGAAAATCAAATTCTCAGTTGGACAACTCTAGACATCTAAAACAGAACAAGGAGCCACAACTCCTGAGTTTTTAGAAAAGCGCTATATAAGTCTCATGTATTATTATTATTATTATTATTATTATTATTATTATTATTATTATTATTAATGTTGCTTTTTAATGTATCATAACATACTTAAAGAATTCTTCTGAAAAGTAAGTACGTCAGGTGTTATTTTAATGTATTACAAAGTAAATGTTTTCCCCTGGATTGTACTGGAGTAGAAGTAAGTAAGGTAAAATACAAGATCTTACAAATGTAGCTTTAGTGTTGTATACTTGAGCAAATACAGTCTGCTTGTTTCCACCACTGGCAATAAGCTAATTCCGGCTGAGGTATTGATTTATTATTTTTATTCCAATAGTGCTGTTACTTTTAAGCACAGCTATTCTTTGCCAATTGTATTTAACCTGCTTTACAAAAAAAACGAAATATAGACGCCTTTTCTTCATTGGTTCCCCGTCACTTGATTGATTTTTAAAATGTGACTTCTGACATATTGGACACAACATGTCAGGCATTTCTGTATTTCAAGGTTCAAGGTTCAAGGTTCTTTATTGTCAATCTGACATAGCTACAGAGTAATTATGCAGTTGAAAATCTTATGTCACAGGCTTCTCCAACAATGCAACATAATAACATAACATAATAACAATAAGAGCATGAGCAATACAAAAATAATAATAGTTATAAAAATGAAATAAAGTTATGGTGTGGAATAGTGCAGTATGAGTCTATATACAAGTTATTGGAATGATATATATATATTAGGTATTAGATACATACTACTGAGTAGCAGTTGAATGTTTGAAGGGATTGTTGTGCCCTCTGACTTTGAGGAGGAGCTTCAGATCACCTAAGTAGCAATTTCTAACAGTTCGGAGGTCAAGGCCAAAAACAGGGGATACTTGCTTTTGTTGCTTCTTAAGCTCCTAAACAGCCAACAATTGTTTTCAAAAATACGTTTTCAGGTTTAGATTTGTATTTTGTGCATCTACTGTGACATGTTTCCATGCTTTAATGTTCAAAAAGGTTGTTTTTTTTCATACTGCTTGTGCTGCAGCACCTCTTCTCACCCTCTGTCTGAAACCAGAGCCCAGACTGCTCTGATTGGTTAGCCTGCCAGCTCTGTTGAGATTTGTCAACCGCTAAGAGATGTCCCGCCCCTCAGCCTATCACGTAAAATGTGTTTGAGCGCTAGCCAATTGAATCACAAGTGTTACATAGTGATGTCATTATGTCACAGAAGTAAACAAAGGTTTACAATGGAAGCGTTTCAGGCGGGGGGGAGAAACTCCCTCTGGATGGAACACAGGGATTTTAGCCTTTGCAGACCATTGACATGCACATAAACCTACATAACACACTAGAGGAAAGGGAAAACCCCAAAAAGAATAGTTGGGTCCCTTTAAAAAAAAAAAAACACAACATGAAACCCATTTGTCTGGCCTTCTCTTGCCTGTGCAGACCAAACTGTTGGACAATGCTTTCCAGCATCACGAAAACCTTTTAAGGGTGTGAAAGCTGTAACGTCAATGCCTCATTAGAGTCACAGTCTAAATGTCTACATGCTGTAAACGGAGAAGGAACTGACACATAGCATCAACTTTTTGTTAGTAATTTAAGCTAATAAAACACAACACACAACTAATGTGGCTAATGTTTTCTTACTTTCTGTGTGTGTAAAAGTGTTAAATGTGTGCCAAGTTAAATTACCTACCGTTTATGTTTCAGTGTGTGTCAGTCCCCGCGGGCTGTGATGGCTCTTGGGCAGCTCATCCTACTGTTGCTACCCCGCAGTGTACACACACGCACACACACACTGGCTTTCTGACGCTGATCACTCCTGTGGAAAAACACAGACATGTTACATGACATGCCACTCAACCCAGAGGACACAAAAGTAAACAAACAACATTGAAATATGATTCATTTGTTTCTGTTTTACAAACGCATACAGTATCATTAGATCGTTAGCTGTCAAACATATCAAACTATCTGACACAAAACCCAAGCCCGAGGATAGCAAATGCTGAACCTTAGAAATGTTATGTTCCCAACAGGCCAATAAAGTGACAAAGCTAGCAGAAATCTACATCCCCATGATCTGTTTTGGGCTGTCTCTATCAGAAAACAGTTTGACTTTACAGAAAACACGTTCAGCTCGAAGTGACTCTACAGGCCGACGGTCAACACATTCTCCGGATTTCATATCACCATGAAAGATTGAGGATGTATCCTTTGGCACGTATTATCAAATCCGGAAACGTTGCTCAATTATAAAGCTTGGGGAAAGAGAAAGTTGATAGTTTGACTCCATGTAGCACAGCTTAATTAGGTGGCAAGTGCATATTTCACAACCAGCAACATTGTTACTATTCAATGCAAACACCTATCATCTGTAGGCATGCTACACCCAAAGAGTTGATCACGGGTTCTTAACTCATGCTAGAAAAATCCAGAACTTTCCGAAACATTACCCCTGTCCTCTATTATTTTCTCCTCAGGAAGACATGGCCTACAGCTGAGCAAACAGCACACACAGCATGCATTCAACTGACAATCAGGTAGTTAAGCAGTTAAGTTGGTTAGTTAGAGCCTCACCCTTGTAGTTCTGAGTGGCCAGGCCGATACACAAAAAGCAAAGAGGTGCTACTTGGGAGGCTGTTGCCCCGGAGTGTGAGAGGATAGTATGAGCACAGCGATCCAGAATGCCACAGATCAAGTTACAGAGCCGGTAAATATAGCAGGCGCCTATGACCTCTACAGGTCACTTAACACTCAGTGGCATTCCAAATTGCTATATCACTAGGCCTCAAGTCCAGTGCACTACTGTAGCCAGCAGATTGGCTTCTTTAACGGGAGCTAACATCTTAAATGAATGGCATGATTCAGTAGATTTAGTCACTTTGCATTCCTCAAGTAATAGTTCTACATCATAACAATACTGTACAAAACTGCCACACTAGGTCATGTGTTGGCAGCAGAGGTGGAAGAAGTACTCAGATCTTGAACTTGAGTAAAAGTAGAAGTGCCAGAGTATAGGAAAACTCTGTTACAAGTAAAAGTCCTGCATTCAAAATGTTACTCAAGTAAAAGTTCAAAAATAATTAGCATAAGAACTTAAAACTTAAAGTACCAAAAGTAAAAGTAATCTTTATGCAGATTGGCCCATTCCAGAATAGTACATATTATATGTTTTGATTATAATTATTGATGCATTAAAGTGTTATCAAAGCTGGTAAAGGTGCAGCTAGCTTTAATGACTTTGTATACCTCAGGGTAGCTTGTGAATTTACTTTAGGTGTAACTAAAGTCTTATTTAAGTGTTAATTATATTTCACATCATGAAACCAAATCTGTAAAGTAACTAAAGGTATTAAATACATGTACATGTAGTCTAGTAAAAGTACACGATTTACCTCTGAATTGTAGTGGAGTAGAAGTACCAAGTATCACAACATTGAAATACTCAGGTACAAGTCGCTCAAATGTGTACTTAAGTACAGCACTTGAGTAAATGTAATTTGTTACTTGACAACACTGGTTGGCAGTGACAGTAGTTGAAAAACTGGTGTATGAAAAAAAAAATACATTACCAGTACCGAATCAAGAATTTTCTAGCAAAGCAAAGCAGTTGAGGTATGTGTGTAAGACAATGGAAAAACACAGAGTGGTGAACGGTCTCTGTGCGGGGTATAGCATTACATGACGCTGGGAGGAGATGGGACGACACTGGCACAGAAGCCATACTCGCTGCACTGCAGTGTGTCCGTTTTACATGGGGCTGAACAGACTCGTTTGAGGCAGATATCTATGTATTTGAAGTATTCCGCATAAAGTATGGGGAAAACGTTATTCAGTAGCCTATTAGATAACCATTTAGACACAAGAGCGTTGCTCGGCAATGGCAGGTTTGACAGAGGAGGCTACAGAAGGGGGCGGAGAAGAGATTGTATTAGTGAAAACCATGGCGAGAACTAACCTAGTTCCTTTAGCCTGAGGTAGCAACGTGCAAAGTTAAGACAACGGTCAATACCTAAATAACATGGTAACTTCGTCCATGTACCCTGGGTGGACGTCCCACATCGGCTAACTAGCTTATCTCGCTAGCCTCCTCAAATATCCACAGAGTAGAGACTAGAGAGCCGCGGTGTGACGCGCCAGTGTTCACAGAGCACCGCGCCAAGTGTGTGAGAACTGTGGCACTGCACATTTAACGGTGAATAACGGTAGCTTGGCCCTTTAAACTTAAAGAGTTGATGTTATATGGCCTCCCATTATACACAACTTCATGAAGTACGCTTACGTTACGTGTCTTGAAACTGAAATGTTCCTGAAATAAAGAGCTGTTTCGCAGTCATGGTATGCCAAAACATCTGAGTGACTTATTGCGACTTCTATAATGTTTATAAAGGTGAGGTAATACGGGAGTTTGCTTATGTCCATAGGAGAGCACAGCAGCACTCAGTGTTATGGTGGTGTGTCCGAGGCACCAAACTGCATTCACTCACCTCACAGTTGGAGACCATCCCGATCCAAACAGGCAGCGAAACGCCCCCAAAAGTATCGTTTTGTCTGGTAGTGTTGCTTTTTAGACCATTACTTAAGTTGCTGTGACGATAGTGTTGGATGGAGAACTACATCGCCATGGGGTTTGAATTAAAACCACCGCTGGTATTCAGCCATATCTTCTATCCCCTTGCAGTTGTAGAGTTTTTCTGCAACCAAGTAACGGTTCTGTTAGCTTTAACGGTGACGTCAGTCCGGTAACAGAGCTAATTTTCTGATTGGTTAATACTTCCTGTCAGCGTCACAAGCCAGTGCAGTGACCTGCCTCCTACACCGTCACCATAGTGACGAACGTAAACATCAGAAATTGCTTTCATTGAAAAAAAATGTTGCTTTCATGGTTATGGGAAATATGAGATCTTCATACCAATAATAATTCATACACACCTAAGATGTGTGGTTGTGGTTCAAATAACCACAATATATACTGTTCAGGTATTTCCAGTGGTAAATACAACCACAAATAATGCTTACTTAGTCTACTGTACATGTGGCCATATTTGGTAGGAACTGAAGTAAATCAATGTTGTTAGATGAAGTGCAATCACCTACAGTTATTTTAACCATAAGCATTTTCTGATTTTGAATGCAACTGGAGCTGTAACCAAATACTTGAATATTGATGATCTGTTGTGTATGTTTTCAGTAGAATGCTTTATGACCATTGGGAAAGTATTGCTATTAATTTGTACAAGTAGTAAGAAGGCTAAATACAAATACATCTTAATAATAATATATATAAATATTTAATATATATTTTAAATATGGTTGAATGCTAAAAAGATCTTACACACAAACCCATTTTTGAAAGACGTCAATACAAATCAATTAATTTAATTTAATATCATTTTGTTAATTCACTTAGTTTTATATGCATCAATGCACTGCAGTTTTGTAACTGTGTTGTTTTAATTACATACATTAAACAAGATCCCCTATAAACCATGTCTCATTGCTTCTTTTAAGTATTCCAATTTCCAGTATTCAAGTAGTCATTCATGCTGGAGTGTGCTAGTGTCTGCATCAAATTGAATGAGTCATGAAATCCTACTGCAGTATAACCATCTGTAAAACGCATCCGGACCCCTGACATAGATCCAAGGCTGCTGCTGTAAATTAAACAAAGTGTCACACACTGAGGAGGGAGACTGTCTTTTATTACCATTCAACTTTCTTTACATAAAGCTAATATTTAAAGATGACTCATTCTGTTATATATAATCCTTGATATAGGTTCCTACCAAAAAAAGAATGCTTTAATTGCCACAGATTGTGAACAGTCATGTGTTACATAATAGAGTGAGTGATTAGCTTAATACTGGTATATAAGGCTGAGCGGGGATAAAACCTGGTCACAATTTAGCCCAACCAAAATATATAACACTGTAAATAAAGACAAATAAAGGCTTCTGAGATTCACATGAGCTCTGGTGCAGTTCTTTACGAGGCAGACGATGACTCAAACACTGATACATCCCTAATATCAAGTGCTTATTTACTTCCGCAGTTCTCCATTTAGACAGAATGTGCTGTGCTGAAGCTTCCATATGTTTAGGATTATGTGTGATCATTTATCTTAACAAATAGAGCTCATCAATGCATGCTTCATTTTGGTTGGATTTCTTCTTAAAAAATGAACAACCTTGAGCAGTGGAGAGGGTGTTGGAATAAAAGCCAAATCACCCCCTCAATTGCTCCTCAGGAAGTATTTCAATTGATGAATTCATATAATTTTTTAAGATTGCCTTTTCACACAATTGATGACTCCTTTGATGAAACAGTTTAAATGTTTTTGGAAATATTCCTATTTAATGTTTGGAAGGGGGTATGATGAGAAGATTGATACCACACTCTTACGCATGTACACTTAATGTGTATGTACATAAAGCAGCTAATTAGCCTAGCTTTGTTAAGCTTAGCAGAACAATGTAGTAAAGGGGAAAACAGCTAGCCTTTCTCTCTCTAAAAGGTAAAAATCAACCAATATGTACTTTTAAAGCTCACTCCTACGTGTATTAATGTCAAGGTGAGCTTGTGGGTCAAACTATTTCAAAGCTGGAACTCAATTAAGTGCAATGGCTGTGAAAGTCACATCCCTCATGAACCCCATTTTAAACTGGAACCTGTTGTTCTACCCTTAGAGGGAGTTTAATGTATACAACCAAGATATGTTTCATCTGGGCTGTTAGGCAGATCTTGTTACTTTTGGACAGAGCCAGGTGAGCTGTTCCCGCCAATTTCCAGTCTTTATGCTAGGCTAAGCTAACCGTCCACTAGCTGTAGCTTCATGTTTAGCGTGCGAGAGTAGCACCGATCTTCTTACACAGCAAGTAAGCGTGCTAGCCTTTAACCCAAAATGTGAAATGATATTGTTAATTTAAAGGTCATATCAATCTCTGTAATGTGTTTTAAAGCCATGAAAGCAAGTAATATTTCTAGTGATTGCAAACAGAGATCAACAAAAATGTTGTAATTTTTAAATTAAAACTACAACCATAACATGCAAAATGTTTGAACTGCTTTCAGCTGTCTTGAGATAACTGATGGTGGAATTATAATTTCGGTTTGAATGTCTTCTTATAACATTTTTAAGTGACAAATAAAAGGCAGTCAAAGAAAGCTTTACAGTATGATTCTGTGGGACTGATAACAGAAGTACATTAAAAAACATGCATACCAAAAGAATTCCCCCACTCTGCAAATTATTACATAATACACATTCTCATTTCAACAAATTTCACACAGATAAGCACATACACTATTACTTAATTCAGACTTGGTGTTGGTGCCAGCACTGCACTGTTGCCTCTCTCTGTGCTGGATACTATATGGCTGTGGTTCAAGCTATGCTATTTATTCAGCACTAGAATGGGAAAACAGGTCTCAGTGCTGTTATTCGTTTCATATAACCTGCTGTAAGTCATTGCTACACCACTACACCGTATCCTTAAGTCTATAATCACACCTTCTAATATTCAAGTATAGCAGAATTCTTCATAAATTAAACAAATTACAACAGTCAGAATAGTTATACATATTGGGTATATTGATAACATATTGAGGGTAAAACCAAGGTAAATACACCATGTAACACTTACCTAAACATAAACAGTGGATGAACTGACAGTACAAAAACAATATTTAAATACGTGGCTTGACATTCAACTAAGTCATCATAACACTGTGCACTGACAGGAATTCCTTTCTCTGTTAAGCTGCTTGCTATAGGAAAAATCAATAGCACCAAACATCACACGTCAATGCTCCTCTTACACTAGGTGCATGTTGTTTGATCAAATCAATACATACTGTATACATTCCACATTATGATAATAATACCCAATGAGCTTTGGTGAAAGAGATTCTGTGTAGGATGGAGTGAAATGTGAATTCATGTGAAGCAGATGACACAATGATATTGAGGCACAAATATACGTCTTTCACTGAAGTGTGCAGTTTAAAGGTGCATATGCATGCACATCAGTGAGGACAATTAATATATTCTATTCTAGGACATTTTAAATACACTGAAAAGAAAGTGCATTGATTAAGCATTTTAGACCTTGTGAAAGTATCTAAATGTAAAGTAAAAGGAAATCATATGATTTACATAAGAAAATGGAGCTTTAAATAAGGATTGATTTCATCTTAAAAGCCTAAATAAGAACATAAAAATAGATAAAAGCAAAACATATTACATTTATAAAGCCAGCTATGTAAATCAGAGATGTTGCCATAACCATGAACATACAGTACAAAGTAATGTCAAAGTCTCATCCTCATCTTACTCCCTAGAATGTGCTCAAATAAAGTCTCATGATCTGGATAAGGACTTATAGCTAATGGAGGGACAGATGGATGATTAAATACAATCATACCTGTACTTGCATGATGTTATGGATAGAGAAGTTATGTCTTTATAATTCTCCAGTACGGAATGTGCTTGGAAGATTGTCTTTTGGGTACCCTAATAGAGTGGTGCAGGTGTTTTGGGAGAGAAACCTGAAGTAAGGTCTGTGGTGTACCCAAAGTGAAGAGATTTTCACATTTTGTTCTACCACATAAAATACATCAGTAATACCTCACTTGTGAATGTCCAAATCTCTTATGTACTATAGAACAGCAGTTGCGGTGGTGGTGCGTATCCATGCGACCGTGATGTAGTTCAACAATGTGGAGTTAATATGTTTAGCTAAACAAAATGTGTAAGTATCTTAACTGTTTGTTTGCCAAAGATCTTGTTTTCTACTATTTTCAGAAATCCAATTGAAAAATCCCATTGCTTTTTGTTGATAGAACCCTTGCGACACAAACTTCTGGGTAGGGTCTACAAAAATACGTCATCACTGCACCACTCTATTTGTGTTTTATGCGTCAATTCATTCCTTAAAATAAACAAAACTATCTAGTGAGTTTACTGTAGTGGCAGAGCAACAATGAAACCTATAGGGGCATCACATGACATTACACAACAGATAACCTGTGTGGGCATGTGTGAGTGTGTGAGTGTTGATACAGAATTGGATTTGTGATAACAAACACAGATCTTGGTCAGTGATAAAGCAAATATCCATTCATCCATTTACTGCTATTAATCCCTTACGGCTAAGAAAGGTAATCCAGAGGTCCCTCTTCCCATCAAAGTCTTCTAGCCCCTCCCTAGGAATCTTTGGGCAATCCAGAGAATGTCTCTATCCCAGGAGGCATACTTATCAGAAAACCGAACCACCTCAACTGGGTCCTTTCGACGCAAAGGTTCAACGGCTCTAATCTGAGCTTCTGTTAAATGTATCAGCTCCTGAATCTCTCAACCTGATTCAGATGTTATCGGCCCGTTAGATGAGTGTTATCAGTAGTATCAGCTACATTGTTCGGTACCACTTTACAATAAGACTACTAGCCTTATAAAGGATTCATAACGGGTTTATAATTAGGTTATTAATTAGGTTGTAAACACTTTATTAATCATTAAGAACCATTTATAAACCAGTTCTAACATAGTTTTCATACATCAACACAGGCTCACTATTTGGCAAGATGACTAAGCCTTATATTGGCACTAGCTTACTTCGTCTTCATCAGCCAACATCCTTGGTATCTGTTGCTCACTGAGTTGATTCCCCCCCTTCCATCTTGATGTTTTTTGGCATCTCTTTATGACCATTCATTTATGAGTTACTAACATTTATAACTGCCAAAAGGGAGCCTTATTGTAAAGTGTAAAACACATTCCCATTTATTAATGAGTTACAACCATTTATAATTGGTACCAATTTTTATTGTAAAGTGTTAAACAAATCACCATTTATTAATGAGTTACTACCATTTATAATTAGTTTAAGTTATATTAAGCCTCAAAGTTATGCATACATTAGTGCGTGGTCACATTGAGTGACAGGTCTGTCCAGTGACTGCTGCCATGGGCGTAATTTCCACTGGGGACAGGGGGGACATGTCCGCCCCACTTTTCAAAATCCCATTTGTGTCCCCCCCACTTTTTAAATGTGTTTATTATTATTTTTTTACGCAAGCGGTCATCGTCAAGGAGGAGCGTCTGTGTGTGTGTGGCACGAGCGCATCTTGTGAGAGAGAGATAGAAAGAGAGAGAGAGGGGGTTGTTGTTAGCATTTGGTGCTAGCTCGGAGCTAACGGAGATTAGTAGCTGTTTCAACAATAAGGAGAGGGAGAGCTCTTTCCTGTCGGACTTTGAGAGACTGAGAGAGAGACAGACAAATATATAGAGAGAGAGAGACAGAGAGAGTTACGTGGGTTGTTGTTAGCATCTGGTGCTAGCCCGGAGCTAACGGAGATTAGTAGCTGTTTCAACAATAAGGAGAGGGAGAGCTCTTTCCTGTCGGACTTTGAGAGAGTGAGAGAGAGACAGACAAATATATATATAGAGAGAGAGACAGAGAGAGAGACTGAGAGAGAGACTGAGAGAGTTACATGGGTTGTTGTTAGCATCTGGTGCTAGCCCGGAGCTAACGGAGATTAGAAGCTGTTTCAACAATAAGGAGAGGGAGAGCTCTCTCCTGTCGTAAAACAGGTTCACATGGATAGGATACTAGATAAGTGTGCACACTCATTATATACACTACACATTTTTCTTGGATTTGTTAACACTATAGTCCCTAATATATTTGTAGAAAGGCAGGAAATGGAATTAAATCGAGAAAATGTTTCATTGCGGAGGACCCCCTGTTTTGTGTCCCCCCTACTTCTCAAACCAAAGTTACACCCTTGACTGCTGCTGTTAGCTTTCTGCTCTGCTAGCAGCTCCGTGAAGCTACAGGGGCTCTGCCTGCTCAGCTCATCCGGGGAACATAACTTGAACTCGGCCGTGTTTGTTGTGCTGGTGCCTTGTGGACTATTCTTCATGCTTAGATCGGACTATTGTGACTCGCTCCGCGTTTAAAACAGACGGTGCATGAATGCAGTTTTACGGTAAGTGAAATCAGAGTACTTTATTTATCTGTTGCTTATGTTTTTAGTCAGCTAACGTTAATGAATGTTAAGGCTTCGGTTAGATCTATTACATCTGTGCTAACGATGCTAATCGTAGCCTCCAAGTTCAAACGTAATAGAGAAGTGTTAAGCATTAAGTGGGATAATACTGTAGAACAAACGGCTTCTGTTTGAGGTTGGTAAAATAAGGTCATCCTTGTAAGTTAGAGAGATATTTTATTAGGTAGGTAACTTTATGCATTGATAAGCTTCATTTAAAATGATCGATTGTGTAGACAAGCTAACGTCAAAGTAGTGTTGAACGGCCTAGTGTGTGTGAAATTAACCTCAATAAGATGTGTGTATATTACAAATGTTAATGTCATATTTCAAGATGATTACGTAGATATTACAATATGGTTGGTTGAGCTGGAGTTCATTATTGAGCTTACACGTTAACGTCACAGTCATATCTGAAGAACGAAGAGAATACTTTTTTTTTTTTTTAAATCAATATGGACCATTACTGTATAATTATCCTTAAATTATGTTTTACAATGCACCTAATAAACAAGTATGGCATTTTGAAACATGATGTGCAACAGTTTTTACTGTAATTTGTGTGCATTTTGTTGTTAACTAAGATGATGTTATGATTTATTTTTTGGTATGCACATGGACGTCTTCGACATACTGTACCTTTCTTTCGAAGAAATGGGTCTTCGGAATGATGGGAGTTAAAGACAAAAGGCGGAGACTAGTGTTGAAACTAGTGGAGAAACGATCAAGATGCAACCTTGTCCCTCTGATTAGACGGCATGTTAAGTCAGGAAGTAGTATCATGACTGATGAGTGGAGGGCATACAGGAGAGTGCAGAGTAACATGGGGTACAACCACTACACCATAAACCACAGCAGGTGTTTGTGAACCCCCAGACAGCAGTCATACCCAACATAATGAAAGAGCTTGGTCGACCGTCAAAGGACATGTCCGTAGACTGAGAGGAAACCGTACAGAGAGTTTGTTGGAGGAACACCTCAAGGTTCTTGAATGGTCATCTTGGCTTGGCTCTGCTCACCCTGATGGACTGCTTGGACGCTTGTTCAAGAATATACACAAAGCCTTTCCAGTCTGAGTACCAGTATGTCTTACCAAGTCTTTCATTTATGTCTGAGAAAAGCTTTTATGTTTAAATATGTGTATCAGTCATACTAAACAGTCATTACTTTGAGTCCTGATTTTCTTCATGTGTGAATAAAATGTTTTGCTTGGCTCTGTTGCATCTTACTTTGCATTTCATGTGAAAAATGTGTATTAGGTCAGCGTAAATGTTATAACTCATTCATAAATGGACATGTGTATTAAACTTAAAAACAACGCACCCTTTTTAGTAGTTAGTTAAATGTTAGTGACTCATCAATAGATGGTGATGTGTTTCACACTTTACAATAAGGCTCCCTTTCAGTAGTTATAAATGTTAGTGACTCATTCATAAATGGTCATAAGAGATGCCAAGAAACATCAAGATGGAAGGGGGAGAACCAGAATCAGTGAACAACAGATACCAAGGATGCTGGCTGATGAAGAAGATTAAGTAAGCTAAGTAGCCAATATAAGACTTAGCAGTACAGATAAATGTGGGCTCACTATTTGGCAAGCAACCGGTCACAGTTGCCCTGTTTATCTCATGTCTTATAAAAGTGTGGAACGGTATATTCTCTTTTTCTTTGGTAAAGGTCGGACCAATGTACCCTATGCTAAAGGACTTAAGAGCAGAAGCAACAAAGGACCTTCCCTTAGCATTTAGATAACTCAACCAGCTCTTATCAAGGCTTTGAGGTAAATACTTCCAGGTCATTACAATTAGTTAGCAACCTTCCTAAGCAAAAATAACTTGATGGCAGGAAGGTACTCCTTCTCTTAAAGCAGTAACTCACACCCAACACAGTGGGAGAAATAAAGATTTGTCCGACTATGGCCTTTGGCTCTCAACCCAAATACAAACTGCCCGAGGCTGTGCTGAAGGCTGCAGTCTGATGATGCCAACAAAACATCATACACAACACAACTACATCTTCTGCAAATAACAGAGAAGGAATTCTGAGGTCCTCAAATCCATAAAACTCACAAAACAATAGTGATAAGGGAGAATGGTGACTAAACAAACCACTGAAAACATGTGTGACTTCCTGCTAATAGTTGGGACACAGCTCTACTTATATTGCTTGAAGGCAACCTTAAGCTAGTCCAGAAAAATACTGCTTACTGTCTTTACACAATATATTCAATGTATGATCATTGCACTCCTGAAGCCATTTTGTCATTAAGTGGTGTTATTTTCCTTTTTGTACTACCAATATTCTCCTTAGCCTGCCTTACCAATTTCTATTTTATTTAAAGTTCCCCTCCAGATTGACCTATTGTTGCTTTATTATCCACTGTGCAGGGTTTAACCGGAAGGTTTTTTTTGTGCTCTTCTTAAATCTCACTTTAGCACATGGTTTGTATGTACAGGCATAACGATAAGTTTGCAAGCCAATCCTAATGCAAAGTAAACTTACAAAACTATGATGTTGAAACTTGAAGCCAGGAGGGTACACAGACTCGGAATCGACAGGAAGATCTTGTGTCCAGTTATTACACTTATGTAGTTAATCACAATTTTAAATTTGTGTATTTTCTTATAACTTTTAAAGCACAGTATTTTCATATGTCCCAAGTCATTGGGGATTCCTGGAGGATGTGCAATTGGTATATTCTACGACAAACAACTATCGATCGTCATAACAAATCTAGAAATAGTTAAATGCTTTTGATTCTGCATTTTGTCCAACAATCAATAATGTGATGTAGCATCTTCTAACTTTTGCAACTATTAATACAAATACTGAAAAAAACACCACCAAAAACAAAATGGACCCAAATAAAAGACAGTTTCATAACCACCATTTAACAAGCAGGATTTTCCTTCAACAACTGCACATTTCTTGAAATGATGCCCTATTAAAAAATACTCTGCCTCACTGCTAATAATGGTAGTGTTTGCAAAAAGTGGGAAAGGTGGTGGCTTTGGATACTTGACTAGGAATTTGTTTGGTACAGTAATGGAGCTGCAGCAAGCTTTGCCGATAAAGAAGCGCCCTTCTCTCTGCTTAAGCTGGTAGCGTTGTCTACACACTCCAGTGGGTGCCCTCAAATTAAGCTGAAAATAAATAAATACGTAAAGGGCTGTAATTCCAGCCAGAGCCTCCGAGCAGCCCACTGCAGTCTCCATGATGGTGTTCCTAACGAGTGGCCGCTGATGCTGTTCCATATGCGTTTTCCATTTATTTCGTGATTCCAGTTAACGCATAATCAAATTAATCAATCATCACCCTATTTCGGCAGTTGGACACCAGCTTTTAACTTGGTCTTCGGCACCACCAGTATCTCATCACCGTCCTGAATGCTGTAGGAGTGCAGAGCCCGGGTTTTGTACTTCATTTCCTCCGGACCGAAGGCGCTGCACTTGTCGATGTAGTAGATCCTCATGCTGCTGGTGGACAGCTGGACCACTGTTGTCAGCTGCTTCTTCAGCTCAGCTACTGTCTGGTCCAAACGGATGCTCAGCTGACACAAAGACAAACATTTTATGCAATTGTGACACTAATTTAATTTAGAATAAGTACAATTAACCAAAGTCTGGATATTTGTATTTCTCCACTTCATTTGCGTTGCCCAGTGTGAAATAATATTTTGTTGATACCAGGATCATGATTAATGGGTTACAATATCACTCGAAGCCTTGCCTCTTTAGACATTCTACATTATACAACATAACATTACAGCCTGTTTAACACACCTGTTCCACTTTTTCCTCACAGTGAACTTCCACCTCGGCACGGCAGCGAGGTCGAAGGTCGATCTCAGCGAGAGGTTCTAGCTTCCCATACTTGGTTACTAGGGAATGGTATCTGAGGAGGAACAGAGCAGGTTGTGGTGTGAGTATTAAGAGTACACTCATACCTATAATGCATGACACTAACACTCACACTCTTGTAGTACAGAGAATAAGTGCAGCGTACCTGTAAGGCAGCTCCTCCTCAGGGTAGTCTAGGTGGTAACGGATGAAGAACCTCTCTGCGTCTTCTCTCTCACTGTCAGTCACAACACTGCCATTAAGCAGTGATATTGAAGGAAGCCTATGAGGAAGCACACGATATTATTGACAATGTGTGAATCGGAAATTTAAGTTGACTTAAGTCAGATTACTTTGGAAATGTTATGTCATCCTTTTAAACACTCCACTGTGTTTGAAACAAACAAGCAGTTTATGGACACAGGGATTTCCATTGTGGAGACTCACTGTGCTACCATGAGGCTGCGCTGCTCTGTGTTGGTGTAGGTCTGCAGTAAGGGAATGCCCTGCAGCCGCACCTCCTCCAGCCTGGGGAAGAAGTTGAGCTTCTCAATGTCCTCCCATCGGTTAAATCCTGAAAACACACATCGAAAACTCACTTTTTAAACAGTTATCAGGATAAATAAATAGCAACAGTTCACATGTATTATAATGAAGTGTGCTGTGTCTCTCACAGATAACCCTTTTTAAAAAAACAAAACATTTATCCATTTACTTTGTTTGTCCACAGATGATTCTCGTGATGCATTTGTTACATAAAGTAAAAAGAAAAAAACAAAGAAAAAGGCCAAAACATATGCCTTTAATCCAATAGCAAAAATAAAAAAGACAGGAATTAAAAAAAAGAAAGAGAGACAATTGTAATAATGATAATTGAAATTGTTTATATTATCATATCTAAGGTTAATTTAACTCTGTCCAACCCATGTGCTAACATTTCTCTGTGAAATATGTTAAACCTGGTGTCTAAAATTTGAATAACAAGTACAATAAAGCTACAGCCTGTCAGCATAGCTTGTTTTTGATTTAAGATGGATCTTCAAGACATAATCTGAAACAACAAGACTAATGTTCTACTCTCAACAGAACTCCAAAAATAGATCGACCAGCAATACTCCCCAAAATAGAAACAATTCCTGAAAAAGTGACGTGGAGAGGGATCTGTTCCAATACTCTACAGATAAAACAAAGCTTTTAAGATACAATGACATGTTTGCCTTTGCTATTTTTGTCAGCCATTAAGTCATTGCAAACAGATGCTTACTCTGCCCTTCTGTACTGAGCTGAACATCTGAAGCATATCAGTGTTTTACTACCAGAATGAAACTATAAATGGTTAAAGGACTGCATTTATATGGCGCTATATCCAGTCTTTAATACTCCTCAAAGTGTTTTACATATACAAGTCATTCACTCATTCAAACCATGTACGTACAGCAGGGACGTGCACAGGTACGGGCTAATGTTGCCCGGGCAACGGCCCGTTTGCCATTTTTGTCTGACCTGCCCCTCTGGAGAGAGCGAGAGTTTTGTTTTGTTTTCTATTGTGGCCGAATCAACATGATAAGCCCACTTTAGGCGCGTTCACACCGCAGTACTTTTCCCACTTTAGTTCCGATATAGTTCCGAAATGTCGCGTTCACACCAAAAAGAGCCGGAACAAAAATGAGTTCATGAGATCCTTTTTACCCCCTTTTCCGTCCCTGCTAGAGAGCAGGGACTTTCGTGGGAGAAAAAGGTTCCTATGTCTGATTGGCTGGGCGGAATGCAAACCACGCCCCGTAAAACTCCCAAAAAGTGTTGTGAAGCCGCCATTTTATTATCCTTGAATTAGCATTATTAGCATTAGCATTAGCCCAGCGCACAAACGGAGAGAGACTAACTTATGGCAACACAAAAGAAAACATGGGAGCAGTGGAGATGAGGAGGTGTCGGCGTTCTGGCGATTTACTCGGAAGGCTTCAGTAGAAGCTGCTGGGAGTCTCAGCAGCTTCTACTGAAGCCAGTCCCTAACTCCGGGGACTTCGGGTGGCAGTATACGCCGTGAAGTTGTTTGCGGCCTGCCAGTAAACCCAAAGCAGAAGAAGAAGAAGTGATGTCAGCGGCTTCATTTGCCTAATCCTCCCCCAGGGACTTATTCCGGTGTGAACGCGATCTGTACTTAGTTCATGAGAACTAAAGAGTTCTCATTAACTAAGTTCTGATGAACCTTTGTGGGAAAAGTACTGCGGTGTGAAAGCGCCTAATTAGTATTGTAGCGTCTCGCTGCGGGAAACACACCTTGTCAGCGCTGACATCTGCCCCCAGTCACGTGACTTTGTTTACAATCTGACAGCTGGAAGCAAAGGAAAGCCCTCCGGCCTCATATGGCTATGGTGATCACACCATGTGCCTGCCTGGCGTTAGAGTATAGGGGACAAACCAGGGGACTTTACCTCCTCTTGACACCGTCGGTTATTTACAAAAAAAACACCTAAATATACTTGTTCTAATGGCGCGTTTCCACTACAGCGCGGAGCACGGTTTAAGAGGGCTGTGACGTCAGCGGCCCGTCTTTGGTTGCGTTTCCACTTGGCCTAGTACCGGCCGGCGGGTCCTAATTCACAGTTTTTCTGGCCTCATAAAATCGTGGGTCTAGGGCCAGGAACAACGAGGCTGAGTCGGGCTGAGTATGCTAAACTAGAGAGAGCATCGCTGGCAAGGGGGCTACAACTACAACAAGATGGACATATTTGACCGTGATTTAATTGTAATACACGTTTCAAAATGATGCCGAAGTAACAACATACTGATACCGGTTAGTAAAAACCATGAATTAATGCTTTGACAAGTCTGCAGACAGACGGCAGGCGAAAAACCTTTTAAAATGCGTGTTTTCTAAATGGAGATTGGCTAAGCTAACGCAGTATATGCTCCGACCGTCCACACTCACAACAACGGCCTATACAGACATAAATAAAGCAGCGACTGTATTCGCCATGACACAGGCAGTCTGTGGTTTGTACTTGTTTAACTTTTGTCTAGTTTCTGAACATATATGAGGAGCTGTGAGCTCTGAGTGCTAACAGCTAACGACTGTGTTGTTTTTCTGGGGTTCTCATTGAAGATGACGTCACGGCTCCGCCTACACTGCGTTACTTTAGATACTACCCCAGTTCCTAAACTGTAATGGAAATGCGCCATAAAGTGAGCCAGTCCTAACGAGGCCTAGCCATAACGAGCGAGGCCGAGCGAGGCTGTGTAGTGGAAACGCGCCATAATTGTACTTCTGTCTTTCTGTGTCTTTTCAACTCCCTCACCGCTCGCTCTCTTTTCTTGATCGCCCTCTCACGGGAGAACACTTCACTCTCCCGCTTCATTGTAGGATTTCTGCCATGTCTCTACCACTTTAGTTTGACCATCTCTGTTATTAAGTTATGGAATACTACATAAATAAGTAATTAGATACCTTACCGTTACTGCGCTCATAAAGAATGATAAGAATAAGAATAATGCGTAATCCGCAAAACTAAAAATGTGCCTGAATAACGAATTTAGCAGTTGGACATAAAAGTCAACTGAGTGCCCTTTTTCCAGTTTAGAGCAATAGCCCCTCCAAATGTTTGTGCACGTCCCTGACGTACAGTATAAAGAGAACGGTCACGGACTGAAACATAAGTTGTAGTAACGCTGTTTGGCCACGACGAAAATGTGCATCTACACTTATGGCGCATTTCCACTACAACGCGGAGCGCGGTTTAAGCGTGCCGTTTTGGTTGCGTTTCCACTAGGAATAGTACCGGCTAGCGGGTACTATTTCACAGTTTTTCTGGCCCCATAAAATCGAGGTTCTTAGCGGGCCAACAACCAGGCTGAGTCGGGCTGAGTATGCTAAACTAGAGAGAGAGAATCGCTGGCAAGGGGGCTACAACTACAACAAAATGAACATATTTGACCGTGATTTAATTGTAATGCACATTTCAAAATGATGCCGAAGTAACAACATACTGATACCGGTTAGTAAAAACCATGAATTAATGCTTTGACAAGTCTGCAGACAAGACGTCAGGCGAAAAACCTTTTAAAATGCGTGTTTTCTGAATGGAGATCGGCTAAGCTAACGCAGTATATGCTCCGACCGTCCACACTCACAACAACGGCCTATACAGACATAAATAAACCAGCGACAGTATTCGCCATGACACAGACAGTCTGTGGTTTGTACTTGTTTAACTTTTGTCTAGTTTCTGAACAGATAGGGTTAGGGTTAACCCTAACCCTAACCCTAAACCCAGCTGTGAGCTTGAGTGCTAACAGCTAACGGCTGATGTTGTTTTTCTGTGGTTCGCATTGAAGATGACGTCACGGCTCCGTCTACACTGCGTTACTATAGTTACTGCCCCAGCTACTAAACTGTAATGGAAACGCAGCAGCACAAAGTGAGCCTGGCCTAACAAGGCCTAACTATACCGTACTAAGCCGAGTGAGGCCCTGCAATGGAAATGCACAATTAGTGGAGTCTTGATTCAAACTCATTCATTCAGAGGCAGGGGATGCCATGCAAAGGGCCGCCTGCTCAGTCGTGGAATGTTACTAAGTACATTTACTCAATTGCTGTACTTAAGTACACATTTGAGGTACTAGAACCCAAATATTTTCCTTTTATTTTCATTTTCTACTACTTTATACTTCTACTCTACTACATTTTATGAAGCAAATGTTGTACTTTTTACCCCACTGCATTAATGTTTCAGATGTATTCACTAGTTACTTACATTCTAAACTATAAAGAAAAAACATTTAAAATATGATTATTTGGTATAGATTAAACCATTCCAAAATTGTATTTAAGTAACTCAAAGTAACTTAAAAGTGGGCAATTTTGCTAAAAGTATTTCATAGTTCCAGCTTCTTAAAGGTGAAGATTTACTGAGTACTTTTACTCCTGATGCTAAGTATATTTCTTAATCGTACTTACAGTAAATACTTTTTCTTAAAGGGGACCTATCATGCAAAATGCACTTTTGTACGTCTTTTATACATGAATATGTGTCCCCGGTGTTCCAGGGAACTCAAGCGTCAGAAAACACAACCCTCTCTATTTTCCTCCATACCCAAATCTCTAAAAAAGGGGCTGCAACGGATCTGATAAAAACTGATCCAGATTTGAACACTGTCCTGACGTCAGGACGGTGGCGCTACGGCTATTGGGCCAACTCCACCAATCAGGAGGAGACAGCCACGGCCATTTCCGTTCGAAAGCGCTGGAGACGCTGTAGTACATATGCCAGGCCTGTAGATGGTGCTGTTGCTCACAGAATCAGCCCTTGCAAAAACAGAGCTAAAAATGTTCAAATTGAGCGAAATGAGGCATGGCTAAAATGCATGATCTGTTTGGTATTTTGAAAAAAAAAAAGTATAAATATGCCTTATATAGGTATGGTCCTACACTATATTATTCAAATATAGCATGATAGGTCCACTTTAAGTATCATTCTTGATGCAGTATTTTTACAGTGTGGTAGGCATATCAGTATTTTTACTCAAGTAAAGAATCTCAATACTTTTTCTACCACTGCACCTGCTCATGGAAGCTAACATTCACACACATTCACACAACCACATATAACCCAGAACCTTCCAGTTGTTAGATGCCCGCAAAACCTCACCTCCACAGAAGCCAATAAGGGACAATAAGGAACATGAAAATGTTTACATTGTTTAACATGTCCCAAACCAAAACACACATACAAATCAACTCTCGTAACTGACCTGAGTTGTGCAGGTTGATTCTGCGTAGTTTGGGGAAGAGCCTCAGCAGGATATCCTTGCCGTCTTCAATGGAGGCCAAGTTGTTGTTTGCCATAATGAGCGTGTCCAGACTGGGGAACATGGAGCCAAACTTGCGGACCTCGGCCCAGTCCTTGAGGCTGTTGTCGGTGATGTGAAGGAGGCGCAGGCTGGGGCAGGCCATACTGGAGGCACTCACACTACTGTACTCATTAAGGCACAGGAACAACTCCTCCAGCCTGCAGAAGTGAACAGGGTGTGGGAAAAGGTGATACTCTGCCTGGTCACATAGAATTAAGTTTGTCCATTACACAAAATATTTTCTTACAGAGGACATATGTTGCTTATTTTCAGAAACTCCCTCTGGAGGGAACACAGGGATTTTAGCCTTTGCAGACCATTTACATGCACTAAACCTATATAAACACACTAAAGGAAAGAGAAACCCCAAAAAAGCATGTTCCCCTGTCAAATTGAAATCTTGTATAATGAACAATTTGAAAATATGATGGAAAAATCTTGTTGGCTTTTTGTTTAGGCAGTCAGTGCAAAGCTTACAAATTTATGGCATCCCTGCAGCACTCAATTATTCATTTTCTCTCATCTTATATGCACTGTAAGCCAGTTCGTGGAGGAACGTAAAAGCAGTGATCTCCTTACTCAGTTGTCTCCCTGGTGAGCAGCAGCAGGGTGTCCCAGGACACCTGGGTGTTGTTGAAGACGAGGCGTCTGACCCGGGAGAAGCATTCAGCCCATCGCGGCTCCAGGGTCCCTCCTCCCAGGGGGTTCGAGCTCAGGTTCAGGAACTCCAGGTTGGGGACGTTAGACACGATTTTACTGATCTGAGAAACGAGCGATGATGTGTTTTCACTTTAGAAAGTAGAAATGTAAACAGAAAACTACAAAATTGATTTTACTTTTTGGACAGCAACAGATCTTTACTGGACATTAGAATTTGTCAACGGTGAGCATCATTATGTGTATTTAATTGTTATTTTTGGACTACAATAGGCTTCTATAGACAGCTATCCATACACATGTATCGCTAATATGAGCGTTAGTAAGGTTACATTAGATAGTGAAACTCATATTTTTTAAATCATTATCATCTATTCTCTCAATCCATTTTCACATTTAGTTTTTATCAATACACTGAAATATACTTTATCATCTCGGACAGGAGAATGAAGATTTTCGCTATACTTTTTTACACAAACTTTAGGCATTTCCACTCAGATTCTTTTTAAAGAAATGGATGGAAATGCATCTTATGACAGAGAGGAATATTCCTTGGTTAAGTCCTAAGTCTTCCATTGTTGTAACTCTTGTAACTCTTTAAAACATTGTACTTGGTACAATGACAATGAAGGAATTATATTCTGTTCTACTCTATTCTAATGTGTTGTATTCTATAAATGTTGCGTTTTGCGGGTTTGTTACAACAATCAACTACATTATCTTGGAATGGAAATGAACTACTGTAATAAACTCAGAGACGGCACCTCTTGCCAGTCCTGCAGCTTGTTGTGAGACAGGTCCAGCTCTATGACATGTGCGCAGAAAGCAGCGATCTCAGCCTGGTCTCCGGCCCTGTTGATCCCACAGCCGGTCAGCACCAGAATGCTGGGCAGGTTCAGACGGTCTGGAGGGGAGGTGGGAGAGGACGGAAGAAAATAAAAAGTAAGGGTTGGTCCGACAGAGGGGAAAGTTCGCACAGGAACAAGGATATTTATTTTGTTATGATCAAAGTGGCTTTGAGATGAAACGTAACGAGTCACAGGAAGCTTTGATATGTTACAACAAATAATTTTCACTGAACACAATGGCAACGAGTGAGGTGTTGAAGTTCCAACAAGGTGTTTTAAACTGTTTATGAATGTACCACTGTTATACCGATGGCTGTTTGTGACCTCAATAAACAACGACATACTGTAAGCTGCATTCACATGATACGTGCCTAAACGGCTGTAAATTATCGCGGAGTGCTGCTCTGTTCACATCAGTTCACATTATTTCAACGTTTTTGTTTATCGCTGACCTGTATGTATTAAACTAAAACAGAGCATTTTCTGTGAGCTCAGATTTTATTTCAGCTTTTTAAACTGTGGTATGTCAGCTACTGCCTGAATATTCTTAACTAAAGGCAGGCTTTCCTATTAATAAAATCTCTGAGCAGAGGAAACATTTTTGATCATGAAGTATCTTGTATTTATTTGATTTCATTGCATTTGATATTGAGGTAATCTAAAAGTAACAGAAAGTAATCAGGTTGCATTACTTTTATATTGGGATACTCAGATTTGGTTACTGCTTAAATATTTTTACAGGTAACTAGTAATTGTAACAGAATACATTTTTTTCCATATATTTTATAATGTTTAGATACTCCTATTCCATATATTTTATAATGTTTAGATACTCCTATTCCGTATATTTTATAATGTTTAGATACTCCTATTCCGTATATTTTATAATGTTTAGATTCTCCTATTCTGTATATTTTATAATGTTTAGATACTCCTCTGAATAGAGATATTTTTTATTCAGAATATGTAAAGTATATATTGTTTTTACATTTTCATTTTTAATTTCTATCTTTGATTTATTTGTATTCTATTCTATTTTTCTTTTAAATAATGTTGTCATTCCTGAAGATCTACTGTCAACATGCTGCTGTGACAAAATCATCTCCATCCATATCCATCCATCCATCCATCCATCCATCCATCCATCCATAGTAACCCTGAAGTACAGTAAGCCTCCCAACCCTGCATTTAAATCAGCCAATTATATTAAGTAAATAAAGCCTTGGCCCCTTCTTAGGAAGCTGTGGTGGGATAAGGAAAAAGTGATATGCCCGTGCAGCTCACCTTTCATAGGGGAACCTTGAGGACATGTGATGGGCACCACCACCACTCCTATACCGGGCCCTCTGCGGACAGGAAAGTTCTCTGGGCTGTACTTTTCACTCATGACCTCGACAAAGGTACGGCCAAACACGTCCTGTGGAGGCTCCATGACTTGGTCCTGCTGAACAGCCCCCTCTCACCTGATGTGGAAAGGAGACACAAATCCACATTGATCCGCTGTCCACTCATGCATGGGCCCTGTTTAACCAACCCAGGCATATTTGCTGCTAAATACATTACACATTACAGCACAACAGTTTATAAGGGCTGCAATTAGGCATATATGTTCCTTCAACTGATCAACATTTGACCTTGTTGTTGCGATATCTTGTTTCAACAGTTACAGTTTATTATCCTTATGTGAACTCTTATCTGTACTGTCCTGTATTTCACTCTTACTCTGTTGTTGCTTTAACTACTGAATTTCCCTACGGGTTTCAATAAAGGTCCATCTTATCTTATCTTAACTAAGGATGATTTGATAACACTTTCTATGAAGAATATACGGTGGCCGACGGTTTGTTACTCTTCAGCTGATAATTCAAGTTATATTAATATAACATAGATCCATCTGATGTGTTTGAACCACTGTCCTGTCAAATATGTCTAATCTGTTTCTATTTCTAAAATATATAACAGAAAGTGTCTTACCTGAAGAGACCTTTCCTTTGACTTGACCAGTATCACAGCTCACTGTCTTGTTGCGTTTGTAATGATAGCCTGTTAAAAAACACAAGAGTAGCTTAACTCCTTACACTGACAGATATATTTTATAACTGCAAGTGAAACAGAATGTCATCAACCCTCCTATTGTCTTCGATTTCCCCCCATTACTTTGGTGTTCGCGGTCAAATTTGACCGGTCCTGTTTTAACTGCTATTACATTAACACAAAAACCATTAATCATCACCAAATTTCATTTAACACCCTTTCAAACTGTAAATATTGTATCAGACTACTGGTATACATGAAAAACTGCAGTAAAGAATAGACACTGAACATGTATTGCGTGTGCCAGGTGGGATCCATGTGGGGGGATGATAAGAGATGATAAGAGCGGGAAATGTGTCAAATTGTTCTGTGTGTGTGTGTGTGTGTGTGTGTGTGTGTGTGTGTGTGTGTGTGTGTGTGTGTGTGTGTGTGTGTGTGTGTGTGTGTGTGTGTGTGTGTGTGTGTGTGTGTGTGTGTGTGTGTTTGTGTGTGTGTTTTATCTGATCCGGATGGTTACTAATTCCTTTTCTTTATGGCGGTCATTTTTGACCGGGAACACCATGGGTGTTACACAGTTGACTAAATCATAAAGCCTTAATGCAATCGAATGTAAAACAAAAAAGTTATGATTGATGAAAGTAGGGTCAGATTTGACCTGAAGACAACAGGAGGGTTAACTATATTTTTTTTAAAAGGCCTTGTCAGTAGTATCTTACTCCAGTGCTGTGTCTGGAAGATGTCTGCAGAAGAATTGCTGGTCCCTTTTTGGTCAGTTGCTCAAGGCAGACCAGGACAGAGAGGACCGCTCACCACATGACACTGGAAAACAAACAAAGTCAAAGATCACTGCCCTTTCTGCCTTGTTATTCATTTGCTAATATCAATCAAATCAAAAGAAGATGGAAGCATGTAGAAAATAATGCTGATGTGAAAGCCATTAAATATGTTTAACTTCTGTAATACTTTACAACACTGGTGCTGTGACAACATTTCCCAATGAGGGATAAATAAAGTATCTATTTATTTATCTAAAATTCTTTCCCAGTAGGCTACAAACCAGACAGCAATTTCATCCAGAGGTTTAAACAAAAATAAGGACAATTGTCTGTCAGGGGTATTAATGTATTATGCAGTAAGTAAGCCATTTACAGAACAACATTAGTTTAAAAATAATTACATCGTTCTGACTTGTTTTGTTACGTGTTAAATCCGCTAGGCCGAACAGCCTTGATAAATCCATCAATTTTAAGTATCTTTGTTCATCAGTAAATCTGTACATATTACATTTTATAAAACATGGTAGCAATCGATTAATCCCAAATAACTCGTTGATTCGGCATATATTTTTGTTAATAAAGCAATGAGAAATGTAACAAAATGTCAAGTTTACTGGCTAGATCCTCTTACGGAGTAACATCTATTGGTTGAAATATGATAGCTGCATCAACAGACAAACCGATTGTAAAGGTTGACATTTTATTGCAAAATGTGCTACGTAATCTATTAGATTTACGCCGATTTACTATGTAACTATTGTGGATTTTTATAAAATTCGCCCTGGTGTTATGCATCGGCCTATAGAGCGCAGGCATCTATAAATGGACTGTTTTGTTAATTTAATTTGGCAGGGTCTGTTTTGTAGGGAGTCCGCTGTGAAAAATGTCGTTATTTTATTATTCTTTGCTTATCAGTTTACAGTTTATCAGTTTAAACCTGACAACCATCGATTCAACACACTATTGTTGTCAATTCGGCATTTACCGTTTTGACAAAGCAATAGTTATTAAGACCACATTTTAACTTTTAAACGTGCCTGCCTAGCTATAGCCCCTTACCAAGTTGAATCAAATTAGGAAGAAGTGGTCCTGGCAACAACATGCACTTCGATTATAAAAGATGATATTTCATTGTTTCAAGTGACACTTTTTCTATAAAATGAACGCCGAACTAATGTATAAATGTTGCTGTTTTGTAATAGGTCTTATAGTGGGGGATTTATCTTATAAATATGTCAATAATATTAAGACAATAATAAATTCGCATATATTTTAAAGGAGTTTGGCTTTTTTTTTTACTAAAAAGCTTGTAGCTAACCCTGTACAGAAAATTACAACCCGGTTCCCCGTCATTTTCCCGGCTAAAGGAAACAACTTAACTGATGAATAACAAGTACAAACTGCTGCTGTTGTTGCTTCTGAGCCCGGTAGCAGACAACGTACAGCAGCTCGATGGAGCTCGAGATGGATAACAGATGGCAACGATATAAAATACTTCCAATAATAACTACCTTATGACAGTATGTCAAGAATACGTCTAAAAAACGGATACAATAGAAGGTCTTCGTTCCACATACCTTTGATGTCTACTTAGATTTTTCCTTGTTATTAAAAATAAACCAGCTGTCATTTTGCTCTCCGATACATCCCGGAAGTGACGTAGCTTGATAGCTGAAAATGAGTTGTTGTTTTTTTCCTTTTCATTTATTGATTTCTTTTTAGATTACCAGTTTAAAGTGGATATTTTATGAGCATCTTGTTGTCTCTATCCCACAAAACGAGAAGAAAACAGATGCCCCTGAGACAAGGATGTCATTGTCAGTGGTGTCATGTAGTGAGGTACTTGTCTTTTACTCAAGTATTGTACTTAATTACGATTTTGGGGTACTTGTACTTTACATGATTATTTTTTATTTCATGCTACTTTATACTTACTCCACTACATTTCAGAAGCCAATTTTGTACTTTTTACTCCACTTCATTTATTTTACAAATTAGTCAGTAGTTAGTTTACAGATTCAGCTTATTGGCTAAAACAAAATATAAATAAACTCTGATATATAATTACAGGTAAAAAAATACCACATCAATGCATTAAAACAAATTATCCAGTAATGTAATATACGTAGTATGATTCTAAAAGGAGACATGAAGCACAATCACTACTTTTTGTACTTTAAGTATATTTTGATGCCGATGCTTTTGTGCGTTTACTTAAGTTAGATTTTAAATGCAGGACTTTTACTTGTAACAGAGTTTTTTTACCTGTAGTATTTCTACTTTTATTTAAGTAAAATATCTGAGTACTTCTTACACCACTGGCCATTGTGTTACACATTTCTGTAATGTAGGCAGTACATTACTGTATTACCCACAGTAATTTACTTTGAATTTGTAATACAGTGTAATGTTCCAGTAATATTTGCTGTTACTGTACAATATTTCACGGTGAAAATATCTGAGCATAAGGAAGGAACCGCTGTGACCTTAAACAGATATTTAGTAAGATAAACGTTGCTATTATTGCTGATTGTTGATGAAATTGAGGCTCAACTGACCCTACCAGCGCACCAAGGCTCATCATGTTAGGTAAGGATTTACTTTTGACATGTAAAGCTGAACATGTATTTTAATTCCACATTTTGTGTATGTGTGCTTCATACATGTATGATAGTATTTCATTTTTCAGTTTTGAAGTAGCAAACATTTTCAATTATATGCTGCCTTTTCCATTTTGTCCACTTCTCTTGCAGGGGACCCCCTTTAGCTCAGGAGCGCTGCTATCAGCCTCTTTAATGTTCAGGAAATGTGACATCATCACATACCAGGTCTGCGTTATACTTCTTTTCGAAAGCACCTCGTTTAACTATTTTACAAGATGTTAAAATATCAGGATCAGTTTTGTTTCTTTTATATCTGTTATGAACTGTTGTATTTTTATCTGTTATGAACTTTTGTATTTTAATCTGTTATGAACTGTTCTATTTTACCATGTTTTTCATATTGAACTTAATATTTAAATGAGATCAATAAACATATTTTATTTAAATTGTATCCGAGTTTTTGTTTATCGTTTCGGGTAGCGCCTATTGCAAATGAGACAAGGATCTAAAAGTGGTTAAAGATAAACCTGTTTTAATGCATTACTGTAAAATGATACTGTATATACTACAGTAATGTATTGTTATATCACAATACCAGTATTGTATAATCACAGTAAAATATTGTTTTTGAGATTACAGCAACATACACAATTACAGTAATATACAGTAATATCAAAATGCAGCACTGATTTTATTACTGTAAACTAAATACAGGATCGCTACTGTAAAGTAAAAATGCAGTAACTTATTTGAAACTCTACTGCCAGTAATTTACTTTAAAATCCCCTGTCATTTTGTTTACAGTGTGTGTTAGCCTGCTGCTGCTGAAGCACATGATTTTTCTTGTTTCATAAAAACTTGCCTGTCGTCCTATCCTACACTGAAAAAACTGAAACGTTGACTTTAATTAAATGTATTATGTCAACAGATTTCACATAATTGTATTAGGTTAGTCGGAAGCAATAAGTTATACCTACATATTTTGTTTAAACTTAATAGTATTGCTTTAAACTAACCTACTACAATTATGTAATTTTGTTCAGTGTATGGTAAAGGGTGCATAATCAGATCACAAAAAAAATAAGTAACTACTGTACAACAACTTAAATAACATTCAAAGAAATTGTTGACACGTTAATAGATCTTAAAAAATCGGCAACTTTAAAGTCACAAACCTTGTTTTCATGATGAACAATGCCTATAAAACAACTTAAATGGATTGAAAATATGTTTAAAGAAAAAAAGAAATTGTGAAACCCAAATGTTTGTAGCAAATTTCACTTTGATTTATAAGGTTAAAGGCCTTGGTTTTGTGCATTCTGGCTCACTTTAACGGCTTAATGAACACTTAACAGCACATAGACACGTAAAACAGTTGCAAACAGACATAAACAACAACTAAGACACTCAAAATGAATACAAAGAGGTACAAACATGGCCACAAAGACAAAACTCAACAGAAGAATATAACAAATTAGAAAGTCTGTGTGTCTTTCTTCTATATTTGGGAGAGCTGGTGGGGCATCTTGAATGTCAAGGTCCCATTCGTGAGTGGTGTATTTAATGTTTCAGGTGAAGAGAGCAAACCAAGTCAAACATTGCCACCTACAGGACAACACACTTCATGAACAGTTAATACATGTGGAAAAACATAAATGGTAAAATAATTTAAGTTAAATATTAGAATTTAAGCATTCTCAAGAATACACTTATCAATGCTCTCATTAAATTCAAGTTGGCATAATACATTTCTGTCTAGAGTCTGAATCCCAAAGATGCATCAGTCAGTTGATTACTTTTCTAATAGACGTAAAAAAATTGTACGCAACACTAGTTTGTACATTCTGGTTTGGCCCGAGGCTTTCAGGTGACCGCTCCTACATTTTTTACGTCCTGTCAATGAAAGATCAGAACCAAATCCCCTTTTTTGGTATCCAATGTAAGAACCATCATCTTGTAGGGAAAAGTCAAATAGCTTTGCCTGACTTACCTCTTTAAACACTGGATGATAGATACAGGATCACAATCAGATCAGAAATACTTTAATAATCAAAAAGGGAAATTGGTTTTCGTGACAGTTGTTTGATTTAGATCGAACAGAATACAATACAATACAAAATATATAATATAAATATAAGAAGTACAAATGCAAGATAAAATAAGATATATAATTATGAAACATGTAAGTAATATAATCCAGTGATATAATAAATATTATTCTGAAAATGGCCACTTTGGATATTAAATGAAGCTCAGCGCAAGTTCAAGTAGGAAGACTGGGTATACCTTCATTAACTCCACAGCTGCATATAATCAGCCATCATGGGTGTTCTCTTTTAACCAATTACATTTCACCGCAATCTCCAGCAGCCCATCATCGTGCTGCAGTCAAACTTTTAAATCATTCTCCTCTCTCCTGTAGTCAGCTGTGATTTCAGGTGTCATGCTCCACCCCAACTACCTCCTTTCATCATGTCCAGTGCCCAGGAGAACTAATCTAAAGACCTCATCACACATCCTCTTCATCCCATCTCCTTATCAAATCCAGATCCTTAGAATCCTCTTCTTCCCATCTCCTCATCAGATCCAGATCTTCAACATCACCACCAAATTCTAGAACCGGGGGGTTTTCCGTTTTTTTTTCCATCTTAAAGTGGACCTATCATGCTATATTTGAATAATATAGTGTAGGACCATACCTATATAAGGCATATTTATACTTTTTTTTTTTCAAAATACCAAACAGATCATGCATTTTAGCCATGCCTCATTTTGCTCAATTTGACATTTTTTACTACAGCGTCTCCAGCGCTTTCGAACGGCAATGGCCGTGGCTGTCTCCTCCTGATTGGTGGAGTTGGCCCAATAGCCGTAGCGCCACTGTCCTGACGTCAGGACAGTCTTCAAATCTGGATCAGTTTTTATCAGATCCGTTGCAGCCCCTTTTTTAGAGATTTGGGTATGGAGGAAAATAGAGAGGGTTGTGTTTTCTGACACTTGGTGAGTTCCCTGGAACACCGGGGACACATATTCATGTATAAAAGACGTACAAAAGTGCATTTTGCATGATAGGTCCCCTTTAAGATATACAATATCAGGATCGAGGTCTAATTGCCAAAGACTAATAACATTTATATCACATGGCGCGTGTGTCAATAAATGTTCTTTTCAGCACAAATAATTGAAGTACTTTTAGATTGAGTAGTCAAGTATATTCTGCCGATAATACTTTTGTATTTGTTTATGGATGGATGTTTACTTTAAACAGAATATGTCTACACTGTGGATTATTACTTTTACTTAAGTATAAGATCTCAGTACTTTTTCCACTCCTCATTACGCTCTTACACGCCAGTTGTTTTTTGAATGATTTTGCAGCTACAGCATAGAAGACAGAATGTGTTCATCCCTTTTCCTCTTAATGTGTGCATACTGTATGTATATATGCAGGGGTGCACATAACTGGTACGCAGGTACGCATGCGCGGCAACAATCTGAAATGCGTAACGTCACTTGTGTCACAACGCGCCTTTGCGTACCTGATAGGTCATCAAAACAAAAACACATATTTCGTCTATACGTGTTTCTTGTCAACACTCAGTGGAGTAAATTATTAGACATGTCCAAAAAAAACAAAGACATTAAGCAGCCACTTTGCCGTTTCGCTCCCTGCAAAAATCTTCGGACTTTCTATGACTGATTGAACTGGGTGCTGGCTGTGCCGCGCAGGACATAACCGACGGACCTGTGAAGCTTCACAGGAGAAAGAGGCTTAGATCACTGGACGACAGAGTTGGTCGCCGTGTGCACAGACGGGGCTGCTGTTAACGTCGGTGTGTACAACAGAATTGTACCAAAACTACATCAACTGGCTGCAGTGGGAGACTCCCCTGTGCACATTCTGTGCCCCGCGCACACACTGGAGAACTGCGCAAAATCAGCTGATCACAACGTTCACGCTCTGTGGTCAAGCTGCTGCAGTTTTATTTACAACAAAGTGGAGTAAAACACACAGCTTCCTGCAAACTTACTCAGGCTG